GTTTAATATTCATATTTATAACATAACATTACATTAGTATTAATTTTATATTCTTATTAAATAATGAGATGATGAAATTGTTTACTGATTTGTATATTTTAATTATTTTTTTCAGGTTCAATTCAAGGCTGAAGGGTGGTTAATTAAATGTTTATTTGTAATTTGTAATTTGTAATAATTTGTAATGTTTTTTTAATTTGTGTAAATGTTTTGTATTTTTCAATTTTCTCTGAAATATTCATTTTTAGAGCAAAACTTAAAATTTTATGAAAATGACTGATTATAATTTTATTAACTAAATAAATGTTTATTAGTTAATGACATATTTAATTTAATTTAATAAAATAAAAACGTAACTTACAATTTTTAGTATTGACTAATATAATGCTTTTTTAGTAATTGTAACATTCAATACACAACATAATCAAAGCTTCTGTATTTATAGAAAAAAAATAATAAACTAACATGTAACGTTTTTAGGCGGGAAAGTGAAAATGTTTTTATTAAATTTTTATTAAATGCGGATTAGCCCACAATTATATATATATAGATACACATTAATCCATATAAACATGCACGATAATGTATCTTTTAATTTTCACGCCGCGTGCGTCGTTGCGCACAATACATTGTTGAGCTACTGTGCATTATTGAAGGCATGAATGTGCATTGATAAGAAGTGCATATGTTCGAAGCTCTGCCAAAAGAATATTTTGTATGAATATATCTCTGAATTGAATACACTTTTGTAATAGATTATTATTGGTAACTAGTGAATTTTCAAAACCTATCATTAGAGTCCTATTCTACTGCTGGCAAAATTCACTTTGAGAAGACATGATAAAAAAAAAAAAAAATAAAAAAAAAAACGGTCAAAATAAATATCAAGCTATAAAGGGAATAATAAACTATGGTCCCCTACCATATAACTTGGCAAACAACATTGTTCAGTCTAATCAGTACATTGCATGTACATAAATTCAATATGGTAAATATATAACTACAAATAGTACCAACGCAAAGTTACAAGAAAAAACATCCGCAAACTTTCTGATTAATCTGACGAGCTCCAACCTCAAGGGCTCTTCCAATTCCTTCCCGATCCTAAACTTTCTATCGTCGCTTCCTTCAATCATTTGGATGTACTTGATCTCTCTCCCTGACTAGATATCGGCCTTTTGCTTTCCTTTATCAAATTTAGGCCTTTCCTCTTTCGACTTGGATGCACTTGGCCTGTCGACTATCTCCTGCTTCGGAGCATTCAATCTCCTAGCATTCCGATTATGCACATTATATATGCAATCGTGTTTCACAAAATTACAAAAATGCCACCACCGGGGTATTTTAAAGTTCAAAAAATTAGTAAAACGTCACTGCTCTACCATATGCATAATAATGTTAGAATACACAACAATGCAACAACATATTTTATAAAATGACAAATGCCACCACGCGTGAAAATCAAAGGTATGCAGTAGTATGAAAAGGAAAAAAAAAATCATTTTGGTATGTTTATTTGTCTAAAGCTTTTTTTTTTTAGTAAACTAATTTTTTATTCATCAATAATAGTAGTTACGTTGCAATTTGTATTATTTTTGGACATCATTCATAAAAAACAGTACGTTATGTTGTAATGTGTATTGTTTTTAGGACATTAATCCCAGAAAATAATGAACCATTTTCGCGATAATTTCTCAATAGTGATACAGATTGCAACATAACGTACTATTATCGATGAGGAGAAAGTTAGTGTACCAAAAAACTACTTTAGACAAGTAAATTTACCAAAATTGAATTTTTGCGGTATGAAATTGCCACCGCATCGTTGACCAAGTGTTGGTGCAGTTGATCATATCTGAAACGTTGATATATTATATCCAATTAGTATGATTTATTCCTAGAACTTAGATATAGTGGCCTTGGCCTACCAACTCAGGTGATAAGTAGCTGGAAGATTCCAATAGTTGGAGCAACTCAGAGGGGCAGGAGGATAAAAACTAGAGAAACAGGCGCTATCGGTCACTGAGGAATACTTAGGGTTAGAGGGTGGTCCCCCTATCTCGCGTAAAAGCGATCTGTTTCACCATCTCCAGTTCTCATTTATCCCATAAACTAGTTACTAGGAATAGAGTTTTTTAGTTGCAAGTTCTAAAATTACAAGCAGTGAGGCTAAAATTTATAGACATATTCAATTATGGACATATTCAATACAATTGAAATATATACTCCATACATGATGCAACAGAATACAAATTTATATACATC